CCTGGAAAGGGGCAGGTCTTTCTTGTCAAAAGGTCTTGACACCAGGTGACCATGGGGTGGGGGTGGGGCAGTCTCCTGACCTGGCACTGAACGGTGCCCACGTTCTGCCTTGCTCAAAAGACCCCGCACAACATTCACACCCATCTCCCAGGACTGGGCTGCCCGCCATGCAGTTTGTTGGGTGAAAAGATGAGTCACACCAAATGCACAGCGTTCCTTACACACACACACACACACACACACACACACACAGAGAGAGAGAGAGAGAGACAGACAGACAGACAGACAGAGAGACAGACAGACAGACAGAGAGACAGACAGACAAACAGAGAGACAGACAGACAGACAGACAGACACAGACACACACGCAGAGCTGGGCTTCCATAGGAAGTATCAGCGCCAGCTTTTCATGGGATCAACTTCCTAGGGAGGAGGGAAAGTGAAATGTTTTCCTGCATTTTTGCAAGCGAGAGGTCTGCCTATTTGGAGATGCTCCTGCTGCCTTCGAGGGAGCTGGTGAGCGCTTACGGAGAAGCCGAGAGTCTGGAAAGCGACACACACGGTGCCCCTATAATTATTTTGTCGTTTAAGAAGTCTAGAGGGGGCAACAGGATGGCAGCAGGTTCCAGGGCTGCTGGCCTTCCCTCTTCCCATCACTACACTAAAGACCCCACCCCCACCCATGGTCACAATCTGGGCTAAAGACAACGTAAGAGGCTGTAGCCATGGTTGGCACCCAAGGCCCGTCAAAAGGGGCCCGGCCGAGAGGTGCCAGCCCCGTTGGACTCGGCCCTTTGCCCGGTTCTGCCCATCTGTGCTGACACAACCCAACAGCAGCTGAGCTTTCTTTAGGGTGGGTGGGCTTCCCTGTAAAACTATAACAGGGATAATAAGGATGGATTTGAGGAACACTAAAGGATAACGCAAGGGAGCAATTGGGGGGGGGGCATAAGCGAAGAGTCTCAAGACCGGAGGTTGGTGTGTAGCCCAAAGAGGGACCCAATACTGTGATGTTTGTGTGTGAGAGAGAGAGACAGGAGCTGTATTTAGAGTGTACCCCATTCCTTTCTCTCCCCCCCCCGTTTAGGGGTAAAAAGAAGCTTGGCCTTGATCTGGAAGGGCCAAATTTGGGGAGAAAGCCCGGGACCTGTTTCATAAAGAGGGAGGTGGCCCCGTGGAAGCCCCGATGCCTGTAAGGAAGGGTCTTTCCCTCCTCCACGAAATCCTACATTGGGCTACTATTTGTTATTTGTTGCACTCTCTGCAAACAGACACCTTGTTGCAGGATGGGAAGCCAAGGCTGTTGCCTCCCCAGTCAGTCTTTGGAGTCTGCATGAAGTTGTCCATCACTTCCATTATCTTATTGACCTTGCTTCTTGTGTCCGTTCCCCCCCCCCTTCCCTGCCCTCGGCTACAAAGTAGCCTGGATAGAGACGATGGCTCCCAGCAGAGAGCTGTGCTCTCCTGCCCTCCCGCTTCCTGTTCCTCAGTGGGGTAGACAGGTGGGGACTGGGCATTAGGAGTTTCAACTTGTATACCCCCCCCATGAAGTTGTGCTGGCCTGAAGGGCACCTCTGAGGAACTGTGAGGTCCCCCCCCCATTCTCTGGCACAGCCCCTCTGCCCCATGACAGCTACATCAGCACATTGGATCTACTGATCTACTTCCTATCTCCTCTTTTTAAAAAAGCTAAAAAAGCTCTCGACTGGCTCCACGGGGGGGGGGCTGGGGGGCTTTCTTGGCAGGAGAGATCCAGGGGTATCAGACAAAGGACCAGGCCTCCCAGGTAGCCTGCAGGGATTTGCACCACGGTTGACACAATAATCATCCCCAGCAATTGAACATCTTTCCATAGGAGTTCATTGGGTGAAGATCTTCCCATTTGCCAGCTTTGGTTTCTCTGGAGGGTGTCATGGGGTTGGGCTGTATTCTAGGGCCTCCAGATGTTCTTAGACTTCAACTCCCAGAAATCCTGGCCAGCAGAGGTGGTGGTGAAGGCTTCTGGGAGCTGTAGTCCAAGAACATCTGGAGGCCCAAGGTTGGGAAATCACTGTTCTAGGCGCTTGGGGTCAATTTCCCATCAAGGCTGCTTTTAAAATTATTTTGAAGGAAGTTCTGCTTCGGAGAATGGAAGGAGCTGCCATAAGCACATCAGGGCCTCCTTGGGGGGGGGGTCACAAAAACAGAGAGTTTGCTGATTCAACAAGTATTCAAGGTCTCTTCTCCTTCCTCCTCCTCGTGGCTGCATTAGCTTTGCTCGGCAGATCAATAATGGGAGCGGGGGGGGAGGGGCAGTATCTTGCAACCTGAAATGGCTGCTCACTCCCACTCTGCAAAGTTGAGCTGTCAAGATCGTTCTGGCAAGTGCTGGGGAGTTTTTCCGAGGATAATGGGATGACTGATTTCCCAGCCTTTCATCTCGAGTTTGCTTCAGGCAGGCAGGGTCCCTCCTCCTCCTCCTCCTCCTCCTCTCTCAGCCAGAAAACCTCTAGCTGGAATGGCTTTCCCAATAAACCATCTCGGTGGACACCAAGGGCTGCTGGAAAGACCAGGCCAATAGAGTGGACTTGCAAGGCGAGGAGAGGGCAGGTCGCTCAGCCAGATCAACCCCCCCTGGCTTGGCCTCCACCGAGCAGCGCGCATCTCGGGGCTCAAAGCTGCTGCTGAAAGGCAGAGGAGCAGGGAAGGGCCAGGAAAACTCGGAAGGTGGCTCTTTTTCAATCACCATGGAAGAGGAGGATTTGATACTGATGGAGGGGGCCTTGAGCGCGGCAGCCTCCCTCTCCTGCCCGATGTTCTTTGGGGCAGGATGCCTTCCACTGCCCTGGAGGCATCCAGGAGGAGAAAGCTGGTTCAACTTTAACGTGGGATGCTTGAAGCCGTTATGTCTAGAGGACCCGAAGGGAGGGCAGGAAACGCAGGTCAGCTTGGGGCAGTGGCCGTGCACCGGCCCCATGCCGCTCAGACGAGGAGGGTGCAAAAGGACTCACGCTGGATTTTAAGTCGAGGCGTTTCTCGTGCACAAGCACCCAGGTCACCTTTTGTTCAGGCAGCCACCAGGGCACGCATCCATTCTGAGCGGGCAAGGACTGGTGACCCCCCCACCCCACCCCCCTCTCCTCTGGCTGCAGAGCAGGCTGGCCTTTCCCAGGCTGGTGGCCCAATCCCTGGGAAGGGTGGCTTTCCAGATGAAACATCCTGATTTAAAAAAACTCCACCAGCGTTTGGCAGCACGTTTGGGGAACCTGAGCAGGCCTGGCGCGCGTGGGTGGGTGTCGAAGGCTGGCATTTGGGGAGTGCTGAGCAGTGGAAAGGGGGCTGCAACCTAATTAAAAGGTGAATCACCTCTCTTGGAAGCCTTTGGGAGCGCCTTCCTTCTTTTCTCCCTTTATGCTTCTGCTGGGGGGGGTGGGACACAGGGAGGGGGAGTCACTAACTGCATAGAGGGTGGGAGGCTGCAAATCAGCCCGGTGGGCTTGCCCGCTGCTGCTGCTGCTGCTGCAGGGCCCCGGCCTTCCTCAACAACACTCAGCTCAACAGCCCAGCGGAAGAAAAAACTCGGGGGGGGGGGTCTCAGGTCTTCTTCTGCTCTGATTTTTGAAGCCCTCCCACACACCCCAGGGATGAAAAAGGAGGGCAGCCGGAGAGCTGAGCAGGCTTGCTCTTTGCCACCAAAGAGAGAGGGGCCCTTTAGAGGGGGGGGCAACCCTTTGCCTTCT